ACAAGATCAAAGTAACCCCAAGTGTTGTAAGCAACATGTTGCCTAGTGTATGGAGGCCTTAAAATGAAGATGATTGGAGCAATTCCTCTCATATTAATGAAAGATGAGGCTTTGCTTTATTGTTTTATCTGCCCAGTTGCTCTTTTGCTCTCACTATGAAAGAGTTGTCGGGGAACCAACCTACGTTTGGTGACTTTGCCTGCTTCTTTTTCCACGGAAAAGAAAAATATAGCATTCCCAAGACGGAGAATAACTTTTTCTAGAGCCAGTATTGATTACAAGACTCTCGAGGACTAGACAAGAAAGCAGTGTCAGCTCAAAAGTGGAGGCCAAGCGAACACACACACACAGAGACAAGACGACTGCTTTACCCTCGCTTCCACGCCTACGCGTGGGCTCGGGTAATAAAGTGTCATGTAGAGATACAGTAAATAATTAATGGACTATATTGATAGAGTGTAGATTATGCTGGCATACTTTGCCTAGTTTTAATGGACCAATCAGATTCATAATTCAATTACCATCAAGTTCTTCAGGAGGTTCTCCTGTTTAAAATTGCCCATTTGTATCAGGTTTTGCTAAGTAAATGAAGATGCTACAGCTTGTAATTATTGTTAATGGTGGAGACCAGATACAATTACAATTGTATCTACAATTTGTATGTAATACACTAAATTAAAGAAATGTTAAGTTTAAGAATTAATTCTGTGTCAATTCTAAAATTGTTGAATCATCTACAATTTGTATGTGATACAGTCAAGGGTAAATTTACTCTTGATATAGTAAATTCAAAAAGTGTTTATGTTATGATTAATTTTTAAATACAATATCAAAAATCACAAAAACTGCATATTTGAAATTTACCAAAAAATCACAAAAATTAAGTCACATCTATACATACAAGCCAGTTCAACTTGAAATGGTTCAGAAACCAGCTCAATTGTGTCCACACTTAACTGCATGTGGTTGAACCAGTTTATAAGTACTACAGTGACCTTCACCCTACAAGAGAAGGAGAAAGAGAGGGGAAGAAGGAAGAGAGAGATAGGGGAAGGGAGAGAAAGAGATGGAGGGAAGTAAAGCCGGAAGGAGAGTGAGAGAGAAAGGGAGGGACAATAATTATTGATTCTATTACATTAATAAAATGTACAATTGATTTTTGTTTCCTGTCACATGATAAAAGATAGACCACACCCATTCCATCCTAGCAGCTGTAATGACTTCTGGTACAAAAACCAGCATCACCTGGAACAACACACAAACAAACATCATTAATAAAATAATATAATATTATCATTTTACCTATTATACTGTATTAAAATAATAATATACACACATTAACTGACTGACTGTGTTTATTATTAGGAGAAGAGACTGGAAAGGTGGAGTGGACCAGTGGTAGTGTATCCCTCTTTAAACCATCAGCAGGTCAATGTCAGGAAGTGATCAGTCAATTAACCGACAGTCATCATAT